TCGCTACTACTAGTAGGGTGCAGGCCATCGCTACTAGGTTGGAGGCCGTCGCGATTAGTTTGGAGGCCATTGCCATTAGAAACAAAGAAAAACGCAAAGGAATAAAGGTCTAAAGAATTCTTTACTGTTTGGTTCTAACAGAATTGCAAGGCAAAGCAATTCAGTAATCTCTGGGACTTGTCCCAAAGCCATGACCTACTGTACCTACCAAGGGCCTGAGCCCACCCGAGCCTCGGGTTACTTGTAGTCTAATCTTTGGGCCTTATATTCCACGTTCATTCAAGTCTCATCATGTACAGATTGTACAGTAAATCTTTCTTTAGTGAGAAGGTCTATCAAGAACTCACCCCAAATCACCCAACCACGAGGGGTGTTTTCAGCACTGCTTGAGTGGGATAAGACATCAGTTTAAAAAAAGACCATGTTTCTGGGGGGCATCTACGACAATTGTAATGGCCCCATATGACTATGGCATCCATTGCCTAATAGCCTGAACTACTGGGCGAAACTACACCACTCCGCCACCACTGACTCCACCACCACTCCCACCACCGGCCTCAATGCCCCGCTTCCGCTTCTCATCAGCGCGGCGCGAAGCGATCCTGAAAGCAGAGGAATACAACTAGGAGCAAGGACGCTACTAGGAACAAAGGGCATCGCTACTAGGAACAAGGACGCTACTAGGGGCTCACAATTCGATCGCCTCGCCCCGCGACGGCCGACCCCTTAGACGGTTCGACAATTTAGAAAACGACTCTGACCAAGAGGCCTGTCTTGCGCCAAGAGCTGGGAGGATTGGTTAAAACCAAAGGCGCAACCGCTGTCTGGTCCCAAAGCCGAGCGATCCACCGCTCGTCCAAAACCCCACTTGCTGCGTCTCGCAGGAGGATTGAAAGCCGACACTGGAGTTCTGAGGCTGTGTTTCTCTCCAGAAAAGCGATGCCAGGAGCTCCTGGTAGCTTCTTGTTCCTAGTGGCGATGCCCTTTGCTACTAGTAGCGTCCTTGCTCCTAGTAGCGGTGCCAGGAGCCCCTAGTAGCTTCTTGCTCCTAGGAAACCCAAACAAAAGAAACAATGTGTGAAAAAGGGAAAATGGGGGGCCTTGCAGTCAACTGCACCCTCCGGTCATTCTTACATATCCTTTTTCTTCACTGTCTGATCCGCGCTGCACCATGGACTTCAATGTTGGCCATCACTATCATCACTACTTCCCTGCTTCATTTTTGACCCCACTCAACACACCCAGAACCCAACGAACCCTCTCAGATCGGCGCGATCTCCTGGTCTCCTGGCGGCAAGCCGCAAAGCGCTTGATGGTGGGCCTCTCCTGGAGCTCGTCCTGAAGAGCTACGCATGGCTAAGCAGGGAAATGACCAGTTTGCGCAATAGATCCCTATCCCAAACATCCTCTTCTCAGTCACGTCTGACCTGATCCGTACCAGCTCTTGTGAGAATAGACCTTGAATAGGCATTTAGCCCCTTAGACACGCAATTTTTAGGTTTCACATGAACCTCAAAGAAGGATGCCGGCGGCCTTGGCTTTTGGGGTGAAACACCCGTTCAAACGCATTCAAACCGAATCAAACCTACCAACTGCACTGCGCTATCCTACATGCATGATCCTATGAATGAAACCATGTGTTTAAACATGTTTAGAGCCTTTTTAGACACTGTGCATGTGGATCGTGCACCTGAGTGAGCAGTGATGAGCAAAAAAACAGAACTTGAGACTCTCACTTATCATAAAGTTATTGCAGTATATAGATGTTTGTCAGGGTTCATCTCTCCCCTCACTCAACCACAAGATCCACTATTTGTGTCTCATTCCTTCAAAATCCGAGCAGTTTGGCACAAGAGCCCGTCCACAAAAGGAAAAACGGAAGCTGCTAAAACCCTTGAGCCCGGACCCAACATGATCCCGCCAACGAACCACTGGACCCAACATGACCCCACCCACGACGGCCCCGTTTGCTCTCAGCGGCAGCGATGGGCATCCAGTGCATGGGGTCCACCGCACTTGGGTGTTCGACCTGGGCGACGTCCGTCTTGGTCCAATTACTGTAAGAGATCTGAGGAGTGCAGGACAAGACAGAGGGGGACGAGATGTCGCGATGCTTGGACCCTTAGCACCCAAAGGAACAAGTTACATCGCTACATGAGGCACATCAACTACAGGCAGCTGGAAAATGATTGTGTACAACCCACCCTTTATGTTGGTGGACTCTGTTGAAGGAAGCATGCCTCCATGTGAGCCTGAGCACAGCTAAAATGTCCCACAGCTTTGCTAGAGCTCAAAAAACCGTCAATAACAGAATCTTGCTGCATACTGGTGTTAAATCAAAGAAGTTATATAGTGAAAATCGACCGCGGCGCAGTGAGAATCAAGCTCACAAACGAACTCTCCCATCTCCGAGAGTCCCGACCACCGGATCCTTGTCATCATTGGGATTCCAATTCACGACCGGACTTCCCCAACCTGGAACGCGCGTTACCGCGTTGAAACGCAACAAAAAAGAGGATCTCCTATGGTTCATCGTGCTTCGCGAGGTTTCCTGGATGTTTCTTTTAAAGCTCAAGCTCATGTTTGGCGTGTTTGGTGGCGACGCGTCAGGGGAGAGTTGCGGTTACGGGTGAGTCTGGTCGATGTACTGTATATAATATATATATATATATCTGTCTTAGGATTGTTGTTGGCTGGGAGGGATTTGCAGCGGATGTCTGGTCGGTATTATTCTTGCAGATTGGCAATCGAGCTATGGACAAAGCAAGCTGTCGTGGAAGAGAGGAGAAGTTCTCGTGCACATCAGAGAAAGAAGCGAGTGGAGAAGCGAGTATGTCGAGAAGACTCGGGCCATGAGCAGCCCTGAGCCGCCCTGCGACCTTCAGAGGAATGCCAATGTGTTGACTTGCGATTCTGCCTCTGAAGTCTGTCCAGCACCAAGCACCCCAGCTGGTGATGATGCAACGGCTTTTCTCCGGATAGTCCAAGGGTATTCGTACCTGTGGCCAACCGGATGAACACGATGAATCAAAGAACCGCTAAGCATTGCCTCAAATATACCCTGGAGATGCAACAGCTGCAACAGTTTCTAAAGGAAGAGCGGAGTAGACTGGACCCGGCTCCCCACCAAAACTCAGAACTATGTAAGCCAACAAGACTGTTCAAGCTTAAATTTCCTCATCCAATAAACCATCACGGATTCAACAGCTCTTGCTCTTTTGTCTTTGCACTTGGAGAAGCTTCCTTTTCGAAAACTTCTCAGATTGTCCTTGAACCTAACCAAGTCGGGGCATGATGGCATTGTTTGATACCACCGTCGGACACAGACATCAAGCTGGTGTCAAATCGATCTATCCACTTTGTGTAGGCCCTCAGAAATGTACGCACGATCTCTGGCTGATTATCGGATTGCACATACATGTGTACATACGGTAGTTGGCGACAATCCTCTTCCGGCATTTCCAAACAACTTTTCTTGTGCTAACTAGCTTCTTTGCGCAAGAGATCGGAAGGGTAGTTCATGTTCTACAAGAAAATAGCGGGCACTTTCCACTGCGGGGGGGATAGGATGTTTCCATATGTTACCATTGACTCGGAGGGGGAGCGGGTCTTAAAATAAAAATAACTAAATATATATATATATAACTAACAACTTTATTGTTACTAGTAGCGATGGCTCCAACCCGAATAGCATGGCCTCCCCTTCTTGCTACTGGTACCAATTGGTCTCCCATCCATCTGCTGTCCCCCCTTTTCTTCGCGCAAACACTTTGTTCCAGCCGTAAGGCCGGCCCATCGGAGGTGCCGAAGACAGCACCATCGGATCCCGGATCCCTCGTGACCTCTCCACCGACCGATAGCTCAGAAGCTGGCGCTTCGCAAGCAGCGGGCTCCTGGAGCTCTCGCTCGCCGATTCTTCGCGCTTCTTCGACCGGGGTGTCGATGTGCCAAGAGCTTTGAGCACGCCAATGTTTCTTAAGGTTTCTTCTGCTGTCTGCATTGGTCGATTTGTTTCCAGATCATGAGTCAAATATCTCGCTGCTCGCGGTCACTGGCAAGAGCGACAAAGCCGAGAAAGAGTCCACCATATTTTGCATGTTGGGTGTCTCACATTGGTTGATTGGAGCCTTTCCGATTTTGGTCCAGCCTTGAGCGCCTGCAATGAGCGACCTGCAAACTCATGGAAGCACTGGTCTTGGTCAAAGACTGGGACCGCTTGTTGCCCTTGACTCGGGTCTGGACCAATATATACAAGCTCTGAGTATAAGCTATACAAAATATGAGCCACCACGAAACGGCTTTCCTAATGAGTCCCGGGTTCTCTAAATGCTCCTCCAGCTTCAGGAGCTTTCTGAGTGCAAACAGCTCCTCAGATGTCACCGAGCCTCAGTTATGAAGGCTCTTGAAAGTCACCTCTAGCCTGGGAAGAAGCCCGACTGTCTTGGCAATTCGAAGTGGGATCCACATCTAGGGGCAAATCTGTTGAAACGGTTGCTAGCTCGTGTCTGAACTCAGGGGTTTAGAATTCCTCCCGGAGAATGGCATAGAATGGCGAGGCTTTCAAGAATACAGTACCTGATCGGATCAAATAGGACTCTGCCAATCTTTGGACACTTCCAAAAACGGTCAACCCACCCCTCACAACACGCCTCTGCAAGTGTTTCGCCTAATTTGAGATTCAAAGAGATTCAAACAAATGTGTTCTTTGGTATTTGCAGGGATGAACGTGTTCTTCCTTCATTCGCAGATGTATGCTGCGCCTTTGGCTGCATCTGCTTACTCGGATGGGCATCGCATTTAGGAGGCAGTCCCATGGATGCTCGTCAATCACATGAAGTATGGTGTCGGACGCTCATGAGACGTGAGGCAAGGTGTGGGATGCTGGACAAGCCAAGCAAACAGCAGGATGTTCTTCGCGCGCAACAAACTTTTGGTTGCCCAAAGGATGCGATGCAGTGTCAGAATTGCTTGGGGCAGCTCAATGTGATTAGCCCCCCACCTCAACCCCCAAGGCATTTGCGCGCGATTGTATCACCTACTGTAAGCAGGCCAACAACCCGATCATGTGGAAATTCTGTTTCACAGCAAAGAACACGTGCTCTCGACGACAATATGCAAACAAAGGGGCAGGCGCGGCATCTTATGCAGTCACCACCCTCCCACTTTTGGAACGTGTATTTCGTGTTGCGGGCACAGCAAATTCTGTTTCACGGCTGGAAATCCACGTCACTAAGGAATGCACAAAGGCTGCACAAAGGAGAGTGCTCAGCAACTCTGATGATCTTGGAGTGCGTCGTCTTCGTGAGAACTTGCAAAACCCTTGTGTAGTATCTTGTAGGCAGTAACGAACACCATTAGCGAGATCCCAAGAATTAACATCTACTATCTGGACCCGGGTAGTACACCTTGAGATCCCTTCCAATTCTGAACAAATACTTAACCTCTATTGTGTGGCCGCTGAGATTTGGAAATCTCCAGGTTCCTCTGTCCAAAGGCCGAGACCTGTTGGAGCTCAAGCACCCCCCCGTTCCAGTCGCCCTCGGCACCGAGCCACGCGCCAGGCCGGGAGCGAGAGACGCCAGTCGCAAAGGGCCAAGTGAGGTTCGATGGAGCTGCAGAAGCTTCAAACCTTGGGCTTCGGTTGGACCAGAAAGACGAATGAACCAAAGCTGTAAGATTGCATTAGCATTGTACAATCACCTGGTTCAACAAGTATAAGTATATACAGTATCTTTTACAAAAACTGTGCAAAATACTCCAGTGTTCTCACCTACTCATTGGTTGAGCTCCTTTCCCCAAAAACAATCCTTCAAAGTACTTCTGCAGAAAAAATTGATCTAGAGACGCATGACTCGACAACGGTCCTGTCTATCAGACAATACTCTTCAAGGCCTTGTCTTGCACTTTCAAATTCCCAGCGCAGCACTGAAATCAAGCTGGACTTGGACTCAACAAGTGCAGACGATCCATCAGCGGCTCATGCCTATT